GGGCTGGGGAGACCGGTTTCATCGCTCTGAAATTCGGCTGCCAGAGGTGTTTGAAGGACAAACGCCACAGCCCCCGGCTAGCTGTCGAGGGACTGGGGAAGCTCTGGTAGAGAGCAAGGTCCTTCATTAAGAAGAAAGAGCCGAGGAGCAGTCCCGGATCAGGGCTAGGTCATTCATCACTGCCCAACAGCATGAGAGATGCTGCCGCAGTGTGGAGTTGGCAAGAGCCCTTCTTCCAGTGAATACTCTTGTTATTTTGGAGCTGGTGACTTCAGGAGGGGCTGGTGTAGGGCAGGGGAAGGTGTGGCCCTGGGTGAAAAATGTCCTTCTCGCTATACTGAAAGGAGTCGTTTAGTCTTGGGGTAACCCAGAGCAGGGGCCAGGCAGGGCACAGCCGGGCGCTGGCACAGTGGCAGGGAGAGCTGGCACCGTCACCACTGGCTGCCGGTCTGCTGGAGGACAGCAGAGGTGGCAATGCCACCCGGGGATGGAGGGGCTGGGGATGAAGGCAGCGTGGGACCAAGCAGCCAAGCAGCCCTGCAGGAGCCACACGCAGGCCCCCAGGCCTGCCGGGTGGCTTCCCAGGGCCGGCGCGGGGACATGGTCTGGTGGCTCAGCAGCCGCTGGTGTCACGCCATCAGTGAATACATCACCATGGTCCTGTATTGGTGCCACCGAGCCGTCAGCCAGCATCGCTGGGCTGCGTCATTGCCCTTCTTAGCGCTCTCCTCCCATTCCTGTGCCATTTGCAAGGCTGGCTTCAGCCTAACTCAACGTTCGTTAAGCATTTACTCCACTTCATCCACAGCCACCTCGTTAACTGAGCCTGCGACCAGCTCCGTGACGAGGGCCGCTCTCCAGACCCTCGGCTTCAGCACCAGACCCCTGGGAGGGGGGCGGGACTTCCGCACGCATCCTGCCCCACGGGACGGGCTCGCTGCTGGGGGCTGGCACCAAGCCGAGCGGCTGCATCGTGGCCGGGTGGGGGTGGGGGCCCTTGCTGCCCCGGTGTGCGTGGGAGCCAGGCGCAGTGCCGGGAGCACGGCTCACTCGTGGGTGATGCACCGTGCGAGGGTGGCAGACCCTAACGGGCATCTAACGGGGATCCGTGGCACGGCCCAGGTCACAGGCTGTCCCCACAGGGTTTGGCATCCAGTCCCCTAAGTCACAGAATCAGAGAATCATTCAGGTTGGAAAAGACCTCTAAGATCATGAAGTCCAACCGTCACCCCATCACCACCGTGCCTGGTAAACCACGTCCCCAAGGCCCACATCCACACGGTTTTTGAACCCCTCCAGGGATGGGGACTCCACCACCTCCCTGGGCAGCCTGGTCCAAGGCCTGACCACTCTTTCAGAAAAGACATTTTTCCCAGTATCCAATCTAAACCTCCCCTTGAAGTAAAAACATCTTCAGGAAAAGTCCTTATCGGGAGCAGTTGTCAGTCTGGCGGGATTTTGCTGCACATCTGGTGCTGTTTGCTGCGGCTCGCTTCAGATTTCTT